CCGGCAAGCTTCTACCTTCAAGTCGACGAGTCTGCAGGCACCCCTCACCAGCCTGAAACTCAAGACAAGACTCACTTGGGCCCAGGCGCGGGGTATTTGAACCCAAGGGGGTCCGACATCAGCCAGTCCCTGGAACAAAAGCAGCTCACCGGGGGTTCGGTGGGGTTGGTCCCTGAACCCTCCCTCAGACCCTGGAAACCCAAATGCATGATCCACAGGCCAGAGGACGTGCGATTCAGAGCTCATCGGGCTTTTACGTTTGGGACTTTAGGACTGTAAAGTGTTTGCTGCGACCTTGCTGGGGTACCCATACAATATCTCCTCGGCTTAAGGTCAGGGATGATTCTGCTTCTTTGGCAGGCATGCTCGGAAAAAAACACTCCTAAGGCACCGAAGAAAGCACGACCAGGGCTGTTGTTCTAACCTGAGGGCCCTTTTTGGTATCGACTCTGAGGAATCATTATAAGAAATACATGACTTAAAAGAAACCCCTAAACCCTAAACCCTAAACCCTAAACCAACGGGGTCTCTGAGTACGAAGAGCCAGTCAGCCCAGGACATCCTGGCCCGCTGCCTACGCTTCTCCATGACAGACGCCACCTGCCGCAAGAGTTGGTCTTGGACATGCCGGCTTAGGGATTAGCGGTTTAGGGTTTAGGGTTTAGGGTTTAGGGTGTCAGGTTTAAGGTTTAAGGTTTAGGGTTTAGGGTTTAGGTTTGGGCTGACAAGCCTCGAGCCCCAGGTCGCAACCTTAATGCTCACCGGACCGCAGCAATCTGTCGAGTCCTGCCAAAAAAAGCCTCAGGGCCATCGAAGCGCCCTTGGGGCTTAGGGTTGGGATGTTCCCCCCTTAGACTAAGAGCCCTTCAGAGGGAATATAGTACCCCCTACTATCATCCCTATGAAGGGCTGCTAGTATAAGGGGGGGGACATCCCAAAGTTTAGGTCAACTCCCACCGCGTGAAGTGCCTCTGAGCGCAGCTCCATCGTGGACACCTGTCGGCATGTTGCTTGCTGTTCATGCTGGGGTTTTAGGGTTGAGGTTTTGGGGTTTAGCTGGTTCCGAGTATGGGGCTTTGGGAATGTGTAGGGTCCCGATGCAATCCCTGACAGGGTTCTCTCTTAAACCCTAAACCCTCCCTGGGCAAGGTTCTGTCGACGTCAAAGCACCACATCTCTTCTCTTCTTCGCCTACAGTCCTCGATCCTGAACCCTGATTCCCAAACTCTGGTTGTTCAACCAGGAGCTGGGAGATATGCCTGGAAGTGAAACTCTAAACCCTAAACCCTTAAACCCTAAAGCCCTGAAGCCCTGAAACCCGAAAACCCTAAAACCTTAAACCCTAAACCCTAGACCCTGAACCCTGAACCCTGAACCCTGAACCCTGAACCCTAAACCCTAACCCTTTGTGCCTCTGGTGGTCGCGACTCCAGCCTCCACAAAGCTTGGGGCTTCTACTGCTTCTTTAGGTAGCAGAAAGAAAGGCCTTGCATCTAAGGGTAGGGTTTAGGGTTAGGGTTTAGGGTTTAGGGTCTAGGGTCTAGGGTCTAGGGTCTAGGGTCTAGGGTTTAGGGTTTCGGGTTTAGGGTTTAGGGTACCCCTTATATACCCCTTATTCACCTTGTGAAGCCGAGAGCCCCTACAAGTCCTATATCTACCCGATTAACCCCATTGTAAACTCCATACGCCCTACCCTATAAACCCCAAAACCCTTATCAACCTTGCAGCCATCTAAGCCCAAACCCCGCAACCCGGCTTAGACCCATGGTATGTTGCCTGTCTGTGAAGGTGCCTCCCTGTAACCCCGGGCCCTACATAAGCCCTAAACCCGAAAACTCTCCACCATTCTCAACCCCAAACCTCTTAACCGGGGTACTCTATTGCCTATTAAGGACTTTTAGTGTATGGGGGAACATCCCAGTCTTGACCCAAAAAGAAACCCCAAATCCCAAAATCTACACTTTCGGGGCCCGAGCCCACTGGGCAGCGGCTTCACCTTGCGCACGGGCTCTCGACCTGGCGCGCCACTCCAAAAAGTAGTAGGGCGACTGTATATAGTCTGGATGAAAACTGTAGGCCAACAACAAACAAAATAAAGAAACAACATGAAACAGATACACATAGATTCAGTCCCTTTTGGTGTGCGTGTGTGTGTGTAGACGTGCCTTTCACCAGCCTAGCGCTCTTGCGTCGACGATGCATTCCAGGCTTTACAGCTTGGATTGTCGGAGCCGGAAACCCTGAACCTTTTCAATCTTGGCGCCGCGCTCCGGGGAGTACTGGCCCGGTTGAAGAGCCTCAGCGGACCCCGACATACACGTAAGCTGCCACCAGGGCTAGACGGCGAGACCTCTCGTGATCGCGCTCACATCCCTTTGAGAGTGGCCTTTGCTTTCGGGGCTGCCGATAAAACATGGGTGCCACAGGCGGGGGTTTCCATGCAAGGTACCTGCGCCTGATGGCTCTCGAATTGGGGAGGCACTAGACAAAACCAAACGATCACAAACAGCAGCATGTCAGACCCTGCGAAGGCAAACACGAGTCCGTGGCCACTCCAAGTAAAGCCCAAATGAAAGACGTTGACGTCCTTTTACTAGGTTGGCCCCTTCCTGAACAAATTGAAATGCCTTCTAGAAAACCCAAGAAAAAGGGAATAACGATGCTGCGCATCCCAAAAAGAAATAAAGACACCATTTTTTGTCAGGGGCTAGATTCCTTTCCCCTCAACCCTAAAACCCACAAAGCCCTACCACCTCGTCCTCCGACCGGCCTCCCTCCTTGGCTGAGCACTGGGCCACACAGGTCGCGCCCTCTTCGTCCACGGGTCCTTTCACAAACAGGTGCCGGGAGGACTTCGGATTGTAGAGGTATTCAGTTTGGGTTTCGCGTTTAAGGCGTAGGGTCTGGGAGCTTCTTGGCCTACAGGGACATGCCGTAAAGATCTTTAGAACACTCACTTCCGGCTTAGGGCAATTGAAAAAAACAAAAACAAATTGAACTGCAAGATAAAGCTTGCTACCTGCCCCAGCAGAGCGTATGTGAGGCCGAAAAGCCAGCTGTAGAGCCGTAGTCGGAGCTGTTGCTCACATGAAGGGCTCTTGCATAGGGTTCCCGAATTGACCCTCATATAGAAGAACCTCTCTCCCACATGGGGCTCAGGGTTTATGAACACAGGGTCCCTAAGGAGGGTTTAGTGGCTTAGGTCTAGGAAGGGTTGGGACACTGAGCTCCAGACACAGATGCGATGCAAGTGCCCGGCCTCAAGTCGATTCTTGTCGCCAAGACTGCCAGACGCTTTGGCTCCATATAATACTACATTATAGGGACATTCTTACCTACCACGCAAGTATCATTTTGTTGTCAGCTGTTTTCATGAGCTCGCACGATGCCCAGCACAGCAAAAAGCAAAGAACCCGAGCCCTGGACGATCCTGTTCCCTCCCCAAAAAGAATTCCCTCAACCTTTCTGCATAGCTGGCAGAATTATAACAGTCAGCAGGGCATCAGCTAGCCTGGGACTTGTTGCGTCTGTGGATGTCAAACGTAACACAACAGGATCGAGTCAGTAGGTCAGGCAAGTGCTCAGAACTTTCGGTGACGCAAAATAAAAAAATCTGCTGAGTTTTTGAGGGGAAGGCGCTAGATCAAAAGGTTTGAGTGACTATACAACCAAGCACCACAAAATGCCCAGCGTCTGGCCCTCCCATTGACACACGTCTGCGACGATGGCACAAGCTTTACATGTCCTTTGAGTCCTTTTCCGAAAGTTCACGAGCCTCGCGCGAAAAAAAACAACGAATTATAACACTTAATTGTCGTGGCGCAATGCGCCAAAGTGAGAAGCGATGTCGTGAACCCAAAGCAGTCATTTTGGTGGCGAACGAAATCTCACGATTGTTTTGCCGAAAATCAACTCGACGAAGTCTCTCGGTAACGCTCAAATCTCCAAAGAATGCGATAGGAATTAACCATTGACAGCTTCCATTCTAGTACTCTGACCATCTTTGGCCACAACGCTTGCCGAGATTCTCCTGGCTCGGCTCTCCCGGCTCGGCGCCAACGCCACGAGAGCCGCGTTCGGGCGAGGAGACATAATAACCGCTCGGGTCGAGTGGATGAGCGAAATCGACTTGCGGTCCGAAGCTTCAACGATGTAGTCATCAGAACGATCACCCTCGCGGTAAATCGAGCGTGCCCTGGGTTGCAAATTCAACGTGTCGATGAAATGCATAGGAACTCCACGAGCTTGAAGCAAAATGGGTACAACGGCACATCTCCTGCAGAAGAGCCCACTGACGCAGGTGCAATGAAACAAAGGAAGCCCATGAGGGCCCGGCAGGAATGGGTGCAAGCCTCGGTGTGGTCAAGAGGTTGAATTGCTAACAGAGAACACATGCTTTCGTAGGGTTACCCTGCTTACTCCCTGCGTGGAGGTTCATGGGTATATAAGTGGAGTTATAAGTACGGTGCTTATACTTATGCCCCCCACTTAGGGTATTTCTAGCCCTACATTATACCTCCCTCCAAGTCTTAGAAACCTAAGCAAAGTCGGGATCCTGAGGCTTCACGAGGCAGAGGGTTTAGGGTTTAGGGTTTAGGGTTTAGGGTTTAGGGTTTAGGGTGCATCGAGGCCGCTCCTTTTCCTCGTCACCCTTTCTGCGCTCTCAGCCGACGGTCGTTGGTCGGCTAGTTCATTGGGCGCGGAACCCCAGGCCCCTACCCCCCAAAACCGCTTGACATCCTTGCTCAGGAGGCTAAATACCGTAAACCCTACCCCCTTAACAGAAAGAAAGCACGAAAGGCAGAACCTGTAAACTGTTAAACCCAAAGGCGCTGAACTGTGGAAGTTCTTGGGGCGGCTGAGTGGGGGGAAACGGCACGGGAAACTTGCAGTTCATGTCGGGTGCTGTTGACACGCGCATGGTGCCAAACTCAAGAAAGAGCAGGGCACCCGGGAATAACCAGGTCATAAGCCAGAGGTGCCGCAGAAGATGATCCCAATCACTCCTCCTCCGCATCCTGGCGAGCCTTGTATTGCAGGGTTCTGAAGGGAGGGGGTTCAAGGGGGGCTAGGTAACCCAAGGTTCCCTTATGCTCCCCCCTACTCCCCAAGGCTCCCTAAGGCTTCCCTGGGTACCTACACCCCTGTAACCCCCCTCCCTTAAGAACCCTATGATTGTTGTTTAAGATCGTTCATGAGGGCTCTGCCTCCGGCCCATGCCGCTTCTTGGCGCTTGGGGATAGGGAGTGGGAGACCCCAAAAACCTTACCCACATGACCCATGTGGCTCTTTCAAAGACCTAAAGGCCCGAAACCCTGAACCCTGAACCCTAAACCCTAATCAAAGACCTATAGGCCCTAAACCCTGAACAAACCCCAAAAAAACACCAAAGCCTTGAACCGCCTGACCTTGCCAAGCGGCGGCTTGAAGGTATGCAGTGCATGCTGCGATGGTGTACAGAACCAAGGAACCTGGGCCATGGTCGTGACCTACAAACACCTCTCACAGCCATAACAGCACTCATCATACAAAGCAGAGTGGTGCTTAATATATTACCATGGTCGTGACCTACAAACACCTCTCACAGCCATAACAGCACTCATAATACAAAGCAGAGTGGTACTTAATATATTACTTAAGGACGTAGTGCTGTGCAAAGTGTGCTGCTAGCAACACGTTGTGGGAGGATCCTGATCAGCCGAACATCGGCATTGAGTGGCGATCTACTCGACCGCTAGGACACAGGTTTTAACTCCAATCCCAAGTCTGCCGTGCCAGCTGCGCATGAGAGATCCATTCATGAGAAACCCACATGCACCGGAGCGGCCGATAGTGACAGCATGATAGCCACGGGCCAACCTCACAGCGGCCCAGCAGGTCATGACGAGAAGGCCAACATGTCGCCCTGTCGTTACGAAAAAAGTTCTGAGTCATCCGACGTATGGGCGGAAACAGACACAGCATCAACCTTTGAGTTTGCAATTCCGAACAGTGGCCCAATGTGATCAATGACGACTCCGCCCAGCAAGGGGATCAACAGCTTTGCCAGATTCTGCCTCGGCGTGAGAACACCCTATGCAAAGTGGGGGAGGGGAGGGGAGGGGAGGGGAGGCTTCGTATGCTGTATATGGTGTAATTATACATACTATACTTTATATACGCATACGTTTTCAACACATGTATTTACATGCTCATCAAAAACAGGATTGACCCAGGTTGGCTCGACGTCAGTGATTCCAAAACCGGCTTCGTCATATGTGGATCGCGTTGTTCAGCTCACGGACGTGCTGAGCTGCAAGCCTATTACTTGCAAGTCCCCTTTAAAGGGCCTTTACCCTATTCCCACATCTTGCAGCAGACCACACACTTTCCGCTGCATCTGGGGGTTCTGTGCCCCTGATTCGTAGGTTTTGTACTCTCACTCATGTTGTGACGGTTGTGTGCCTTTCTTTCATTCGCGCACCTCCTCGATGCGGGGAGTAATGCAGATCCTCTTGAACCATTGTTGCAAGAATGCACCCGAGGTCGTACACTGTGGAGTTGGCATAAACGCGACTAAGCCCCAAACCCGTACCTGGCCTTGTAAAGTTGACTCCAGTGTTACAACAAGTACACAAAAAAAGGGACCGCGCCTGTGCTTAACTGTTCAGCTCAGGATTCAGGGTTTAGGGTTCGGGTTTAAGGGCTTAAGGGCTCATCAGGGTTGATTATAGGTTGGGATGTTCCCCCTTATACTAACAGCCCTTAACAGGGGTTACAATAAGGGGTACTAGAATCCCGATTAAGGAGCTGTTAGTATAAAGGGGAGCATCCCTAAACCCTAAACCCTAAACCCTAAACCCTAAACCCTAAACCCTAAACCCGTTTGAAGGGTTGTCTTCACTTGCGGCCCGGCAGCGCAGCGAACTGGGCAGCGGAGGCGAAATGCTTCGCCTCTGGCACGCACGACACGGCCTGAGTTCCAGGATGGGCTATTGGTTTAATCGCTCACACTCGGACAAGCCAGGCGAGGCACACAGGTTCCACGGTCTCAACATCGGCTCTGCAGCACATGTGGCCACAGTCATGCCAGTGATACTACTCAACACTCACTGTTGCTAACAGACGGTCATTAACTGGGTGAAAGGCTCATTGACTAGTGAAACTTGCCCAGGACATCTCAGTACTTCTCCACAACACCATATCTCGCCATCTTCTCAACTAGTGGGTGGTCAAGCTGCACGGGGCAGGGGAGAAATGGTTGACCCCAGGATCCCATACAAAGTTCAGGTAAACGTGCCAATTCATCCCCTATTACTCTGCTTAGGGTTTAGGGTTTAGGGTTTAGGGTTTCGGAATCCCCAGAATCAACCCGATAAAGAGCCTTTTGAAGGGGGTTATAGGGTCTAAAGGCCTTATAATCCCCATCATCAACCCGATAAAGAGCCGTTAAAGGGGCTAGAGGGTCTAATCGCTCATCCTGGTTGTGCTGGCACAAACACATACTTGGTCGAAGTGTTTCTGGGGGCTTAGGGTCGGGGTTAGGAAGTTCACGTGCGTGGCATAGCTTCTATATACATAACATCTACGTTCCGTCGTCCTATACAGACTTCCATGCCAGCGACGTGTGTCCGCCAATGTGTTTGTTGCTCCTTGTTCTGTCATCAATGACCCATCGCATGTTATCGCATGTCCTCCCCCCAAAAAAGCTCTGCAGCTCAAAAAGTCGACGGCTGCTAAGGAAGCCCGAATATAGACCCCCAACTAGTAGGGTCCCCTTTTCATATAAGGACCCCAAAAAGGGTATCCCCAAGATCGTAAACCCCCGTATTTCGGCAAGCAACGATGCCGTTGATGGCGGCTGTCGGCGCTGCCCCGAAAAGGAGGAGGCCGAGGTTCGCGATGCTGTAAAAGATCGGCGAGGAGCCTCCCAAAGAGCCCAATACCCCTTAATGAAGGAATATTCCTGTTTAAAGAATATTCCTTAAATTATATAGGGATCCGAAATATGATTTCAGGCACATTCCTTAATTAAGGGGTGCGGGGCTTTTTGGGCTCTTGCCCCAAACCCTGAACCCTAAATCCCCTCGTCACTGTACCACTACCTACCTATCCTTCAGCTCCACGAGTTTCATGAAAGACCCCAAGGACATACAGTGAGTTCAATGGAAACATATGGAAACTAAACCAGAAACGCCAAAGTGCAGCGCTGTAGTTAGGCTCGACCGCACACTGCTGAGCTTCTGAACTCCATTGCGAGCTTTTCCATGCCGACTTCCGAAGTGCATCGGGTCTTTTGGGCTTAGGGTTTGGGATTTAGGGCCCGGACAATCTTACCAGCTGCATGCACGATAAAAGACAGACCCCACAGGCTCGGCCGGAATGTGATGGAAAGGACAAAGATGTACAGGGCCGAGTGATGCAGAGGTACGACTGTAAGCACAGACGTAACATGTCGATGTTGGTTCCTGATTCGCGCGGTCCCGAAAATTGTGTCAGATAGTAATTCTTCGGCAGTATCACATTGATTTGGTCTGCAGTCTAGCTCAAATCCTAAACCGCAACCCGGAATGGCCCCCGCCTGAACCTCCCCTCACCCACCCTATATCGGAGCAGACCCATTTTCAGAGGGGACGGGGGGACGGGGGGGTGGGGGGGGGGATTTACAAAACACAAGAAGCCTCTGCTCTCTGCGAATAAGTAGTGATCAACACATACAATCAGCGGGCCTGCCAGTGGTAGGCAGCAGCCGCTGAGAAGACTACATATAGCGCAAACGGCCTGCGCCGAGCAGGCTTGAAGATGTCTGGAGTTCTGCGAGAGTTGTTGGGGAGCCGAGGTTGATTCTCAACTTCTCTTAGCCCTTCCATTGTGTGGTGCGTGCTCGCCACCGTGTCACCCCATCCGAAGAGTTCTGCCGCAGCTTGGCATTTTGGGGTCTCCCTCATTCTCATGTCTCACCTCTCAGAAATCGAGGTTGGGGTTCGGGGTGACAAGCGGCCATCATGGCGTTCGCGCGCCGGTAGTTGCGATAGCCACCGACGCTGTTCAAATAGTTGGCCTGGGCGTGCGCACACATTCTGTGCCGTGGAATATGTCAGCCCGGAGCTCCAAAAACCCTGAACCACCCCAAAGCCCCTCCACCACCTTTCGCAACAGGCTTCAAGACATTGCCCCAAAGGCTCTGCCTGCTCCAGAAAGGCTCTCCGAGCTCTCTGAGGTGCAAACCTCAACCCTAAACCCCCTCAACCCTAAAACACCATCCCAAAAAACCGAACCAAGAGCCCCAAGACCCAGGTAAGCTAAATGCCGAGGCTGAAAAAAGAACTCTGAGCCCTGCAGTTTCTGGGTTAGACCTTAGGGTTTTGGGCGGTTTCGACTCGCACGCTCGCACACAGCAGGCAAGGGTTTAGCTTGGAGCTAAGAAAGCGGCGCCCAAGATGATGCCACCGATAGGGCCCACGGTGATGACAATGCTCACCTTCCGGGTGCCGGGTTTCAGGCTTCAAGGGTTTTTTACGGGCTTTACTTGGAGGTTCAGGGTAACCCGATACTATGTGTACTTATAACCCGATTCTAACCATATCAGGCCACTTAAGGGACTTATAAGATAAGTACAGGTACAATTGGTTAATAAATACCATGAACCTCCAAGTAGGGTTCAAGCACATGCAGTGAGCTCGGCCGCTCGGACTGCAGCGCTAGAGCTCAGAAAGAAACCTGAAAATCTTCTCAATCTTGGCTGCCGCCAGAGTGCCACGATGGAAATTGTTTCAGCGCTCCAGTGGAAGATTGCACCAAGTGCTTGGGTGATGAAATACAGCCTCAGCTGCATTCCAGGGCTTCAGAACGGTCGGCGCAGAACACATTCTACCCTGGAAAGCCTTGACGGGTGGGTTTGACGTCTGGGCCTTAATTGAGTCTACGAAAACAAGGGACCCCAAATATAGACCCCCAAATAGTAGGATTCCCCTTATACTAAGGATCCCCATAAGGTACCCCCATTTTCGGAAACCCCCACATGGATCACAGGCTTCTGGCGCGCATCATGCACACAGTTGGAGGCTCCGGGGTCGGTAAGGACCCATCTTCCGGAGTGCCGGACAGCTGGTTCGGGGTGGAACGTCTGTTCTTGGGGTCCGTTCGATAAGGGGGATCCTACTATTTGGGGTCTGTTAGGGGTCCCCTATTCTCATATGCAAGCCGTTCGAGCCAGACTTTGAACTCCATGCTAAATTTAAGCAACAGCTCCATGCACTCCCTTGCAGCAAGGTGCATGAAGCCAACCGATCCGGACTGGAAGCACCCGGCTGCCAGAGTGGAGAGGAAGAGCCCGGAACTGCCCAGCGCCTTCAGTTCCTTCGGAATCAGGGACGCTTTCTGTCCTCAGCTGAGCAGGTGGGACACCAAGGCCCAGGACTCTGTGGCGTCCCCGCAGCCTTGGGGTTTCTCCCATGTTTATGCAATCCGAACCCCTAAGCCAAAAACCCCGGAAGCATGTTTGTAACAGACCGCAAGCCTGTGCTCCTCCAGCTCTGGATGCACGAGGCCACTAGGGCTTTAAACTTTAGGTTCAGGGTCTGGCAACGTCCTGCACCACATCCCCTCCTAGCTGCCTTAGCTTCCCGACAGAATTCTTCGGGCCCTCAATCCCCCATTCCGACCCCACAAAGACAGATGCTGAAGACTTTCGGTGCGCATGCTGTGCATGCTCCTTCCCCCTACCCTAAACCCTAAACCCTAAACCTTAAACCCTAAACCCTAAACCCAGGACTCCTGGCACCCTAAACCCTGAACAAACCGCGGACGCCATGGAGGCCCCTTAAACCCTTTCACACCCAGGCCTCGTGACGAATGCCTTGGGACGTTCCCCCTTCTACTAGCAGCTCCTTAGGTAGGGATTCGAGTACCCCCTAGAAAAATCCCTACAAGGACTGTTAGCATATGGGGGGAACATCCCAACGAATGCCCCCTAAAACCCAAAAAAAAAACAGAACTACAGCACCTCAATCTCCCTTTGTAGTATAAGGGGGCACATGACTCCCCCCTAAACCCTAAACCCTAAACCCTAAACCCTAAACCCTAAACCCTAAACCCCCCAGAGCTACAGCACCTGACTCATGCCAAGTTTCCCGTGGATTCGGCCTCTGAGGGCAGCTTCTCCTCTGCCTCAGAGGCGCCCTCCGTGGCCTGCACCTCTGAGGGTTTAGGGTTTGGATTTGTAGGGTTTCGACTCTCACGCTAGCGGAATTGTCGAAACCCTAGTCCAAAACCCGGGTTTAGGGTTTTGGGTTTATAGGGTTTCGGGTTCAGGGTTTGTCTGCTACGCAGGAGGACCTTCGGCGTTTCGGGCGTTGTGGCGCTTCAGGATCCAGAGCTTGAAGCTCCGAGTGGATGTGTCCCTGGTCTATTCCTGTCAGCCTGCTTGTCGCATAGGGATACGGCCGAGAAGTCACGCCAAACCCTTGCAGGACGCAAGCTGTGCCTGGACAACGCTGCTGTCGAAGCGGCTGCCACAAATGCCGCAGCCGAGCATGAGCAGGCCTGTGACAACAGGGAAGCCCGTAGCGCAACACCCGAGCCTGAGACATGTGCCCGCTATGCAAATGTTTATATGCAAATAGCATGTCCTTGCTTATTTGTTTACGAAGGTAGTTAAATACTCTTTATCAGTGTATCAGCAAGTATATAATTTCCGACTGCAAGTACAAATGTCGAAAGAAAAGTTGTGCTGAACGTTGTCCTCATCATGAACTACTCTTTAGTCACCTCAAGCAAAGCCAAAATCGTCCTGATAGGCTACGTCTGCGTAAAGCGCAAAGCCTCCCACCACCTTGGGGAGTAACCCTAAACCCTAAACCCTAAACCCTAAACCCTAAACCCTAAACCCTAAACCCTAAACCCTAAACCTAAACCCTAAACCCTTAAGCCACCTTGCCTTCTGTAAGGTAGAGGAACTCCCAGCTGGCAGCTCCCATGGCACGGGATAAACCTCCCACCACCTTGGGGAGTTCTCGCTGACACGTGATGCATTGGGATGTTCCCCTTATACTAACAGTCCTTCATAGGGATTCCAATAGGGGGTACCTATAATTCCTATTAATGACTGCTAGTACAAGGGGGGAACATTACCAAATGATGCCTGCTGACTGCAACATACTGAACCCTGCGCACGACCACCCCACCGAAAACCCATCACCGAAACTACATCTGAACAAGACTCCACTCCTTCGGAGGGCACCTGGGAACCAACCCACTACAGGTCCGAAAGTAGATGTGCTATGGTCACTTCTCTACATTGGGGGGTCCTTATTATAAGGCGGCCCCTCTTATTTGGGGTACCCAAAAAGGGACCATCATGTTGAGAGCTGATCATATGGGACAGGGAAGGAGGAACCTTCGACACAGAGGGAACGAGTATGACGCAATTGAAAATTCTTCAGAAGTAGGGGTGCTTCGGGACAACGCTCCTAAGTCCTAGTTGGGGCTCGTGGCACAGAAGCAAAGGGAATGTCCGAGCAGAATATACAAGCAAAAGACACACACACACACACCACACACACAGAGACGCACGCACACACGCACACACACACACACACACACAGAGAGAGACAGACAAACAGAGACACAGGTAGAGACACAAACACACAGATGGACAGACCAAACAGACAGGCAGACAGACGGAGACAATCAGTGAGAAAGACGGGGAGACATAGAGAGATAAAGAGAGAGCGATAAGAGCGCCTTTTCGTACAGGCTTTGCGAACCGCATGGGGCGCTGGACTCCGAAAGCCAAAAAAACGCTCGGAAAACACAACGTTCGCGCCTCCGGCCCACACTGCACGATTCTGCCCAGATTCAAATCTCCTACGAGGACTTGAACACTTCCAAACCCTAAAAATTGGATCAGGCCGCAGATGATGTCAACCTACAGCCGCCTTAAAAAAACATCGCCCCGACAAATCCCCAATCTCAGGGCAGCGCGTAGCCGCTCACGATCCCCGTCAACAGCATGGCATTAATGCCTGCCATCCACAAGGTGCGCTTGTCAGCAGGGCCATACCTGTCGACAGGTTTTGGGATGTTTGGCGCTTTTTGATCTCGATGTTGGGATGCATAGCTTTATAGGAGATTCAGGGCATCAGCAAGAGAATGATGAGGTAGGGTATCGGGCAATCTGCTGTAGCGGCTGTCATTTGATGAGCATGAGATGAGCTTCTGTAGTGTGTCCCAGGGTTAGAAATGCAGAAAATGCGTGTCCAGGTGTAGTCCAAGCGGCCGATTCACCCAAGTCGGGTAGTGTACAGCTGCAAGGCCCCAGCACAACCCTCCCAAGGCTCGCGCAGCGATGAGTGTGGGCCTTGACAGGACGCTAGTTTGAACTGCATGGACGCGGTGGGGCAGGGTCTTTCAGGTAACGTAGGCACAAGCGACATTCAAGTCGGGACTCTGTGGTAAGAAGAGGTCTTGTTCCTTTCGGCATTCAACACAGAGTAAGTGCCGTTGTTGACAAATCATCTTTCGACAAGCCGCAGGCTGGGCCGAAAGGCACAGAACATGGACACCCCGGCTATGATGAAGTAGCCCGTCGTCAGCGCCTTCGCAGCAACAGGGGGCAGGCTGCACCATTCGATACCGGCCCCTCAACTTCCCTCAACCAAAAAACTCGCATGGCCGGCAGGTGCAGATGCCCACGCGCTTTTTCCAGGGACGTTGGCTCCGAGTCGGTTTTTCCAAGGTCCGAATCGTCGGATCTTTAAAGAATTTCTTCAAGATCTCCACGCAAAATCAAGAAATCTAGCAATCCTGATACGCTCGACCCCCCCTTAGCCCTTTTTTCAAACGGGGGCTGGCTGCTCGCGCCAGCTCAGAGGCCGCTGCCGGCGCCGGAGTAGGAGCCATAGAAGAAGACGGCCAGCCTAGGAGCTCTCGGGTCGTGGGGTGCCGTTTTTGTCAGGGTTTAGGGTTTAAAGGGTTTAGGGTTTAAAGGGTTTAAAGGGTTTAGGGTTTAGTTGTGGGATGTTCTTTTGGGTGCAGACCATGCACATACGCTAACTTCGTGATGAGATTCGTCTCTGCCCTTCTCTGTCAGCTCGCTCTTGCTTTCCATACCCTGTTACGGGCAAGTTGCACGAGAGGAACGAGGCACAAGTTGGCTGATCGCTCTTGCTCTCTCCCTCTCCCTCTCCCCCTCTCTCTCCGCATCTCCTCCTCCAGGCTATGTCATGCTATCAACGGTCTAAAGGCAGAGAGGCTGTTGAATCGGTGCAGCCGCGGAGCAAGCCCACTGCGGCAGTCCCGGCAAGGAGTCCAAGGAACACCAGCGGGAAGCGCGTGGGCTCACCGCCAGTTGCGGCCATGCTCACCTGGGAATTAGGAAGTGGCCCTAAACCCTAAACACTATATTTTGAACCCTAAGCCCTAAACCCCAAAACCCTCAATTTTAAAGCCGTTCTTCGCTACTTTTATGTCCACTGGAAACACTTAGATGAATTTAAGCTGGAGCTTAGGGTTTAGGGTTCTCTGGGGCTTCCAAGGTATTCCAAGAAGTAGCGAACCCTAAACCCTAAACCGCCTAATTAAACCCTAAACCCTAAACCCTAAACCCTAAACCCCAAAGACCTCAGCTCTTCATCCTAAGTGTTCATCCTGCAGCTCCATAGGTCTCCCGAGGGTTTCAGAGCTCGGGCTCAGGATTCTCTAGGGTTCATGGGGTAGTTATAAGTAGGGTTTGTAAGTTCCCTAAAATTGGGTTAGAAGCATAATCACTATACTTCTAACCATACTTGCAACTATCCCACGAACCTCCAAGTCAGCCCCTGAGCCCTTTTGCAGCAGGGTTTGCGTGAGTCCTCCCTGAGCCCTAAACCCTCAACCCTGAACCCTAAACCCCTGGTGGGGTGGGTTCACCCGGCCTGGATGCTGCGGGCTTCCTGAGGGAGATTGCCCTGGGCCAGCATGGATGGGTTCTCGTTGAGGGTCGCGCCGCGCAAGGCCTGCGGAGCCATGAAGCCTTGGTCGCGTTGAGGGCTGAGGTTTAGGGTTTAGGGTTTAGGGTTTAGGGTTTAGGGTTTAGGGTTTAGGGTTTAGGGTTTAGGGTTTAGGGTTGAAGGAGTTCAGGGGTTTCGCGGTGTGGTCCCGGGGCTGTAGGGTTTCTCTTCCCCCCCCTGGAAGCAGGAGGTGGTGAGCTTGTCTTCAAAAGGACTCTTGGGAGAATGAAAAACTGGCATCCAAGAAGCTCTCCTGCACCGGAAGCAAGGAGTACACGGCCGCGGCCACGAGGAGGACGGAAAGTAGGTTGCAGGCACGCTTCGCCATGATGACCGGAGGTTGTCAAAGGCACCCTACGTTTGCTTGCGCAGCGATATACACTTATAGCTTATTGGGTGATCGCAGCCGAAATGCCAACGGTTGCACGGTCCATGCGCAGATGTTCTGCAAGTCGGTAACCCCCCCTTCCTGCATGGATTAAGGGTGGGGGGGATGCCATGACCCTTTTTGCATTGTAAAACCCTAAAAAAAGTCCAATGCCGTGCAGAACACACACCCAAGCCTGAAGACTACAAACCCTAAAGCCCCAAAATCCAGAAGTTGGAAAGACGCCGAAATTCCCAATCCTCCTTAAGCCTTACACACCAGTAAGTAAACTGTCCATGGCGCCGAGAAGGCGGTGAAGCGGCGGAAGACTGCCATGGCCAAAAGGCCGCTGGGAACGATGCCGTAGTCCTTGAACTTGATGGGTTTAGGGGTCCGAGGGATCTTCTAGGGGGTCGAGGGTCTGTCTTACGTAAGACCCACAAGACCTACACTTTGTTCTGAAACCTCTTACAGAAGCCCTCCGAAACCTACAATAACACAACTAACAGGGCCGCATCCTTCAAGGGGAACTCAGGGATTTGCCGTGCCCCTGCACGTGTTGTAAGCACACTTGCAGGGATTCAAGCGGCAGTCAAGCAGCAGGTGCACCAGCAACGTTGCCCTGGCTGGTGTAGGTCAGGTGGAGGCCTGGCTTTCACAGCGTGCGCGGAAAGCAGTGACGGAAGATGCAAGTAAATGAGGTCCAGGTTGAGAATTACATCATTTGGGGAATTCCGAGGCCCTGTGCCTGCGAATTCTCATTCTCATACGGCCTACGCAAACCTTTTGTGAACCCGGGTTTGCGGTCTATGGTAGCCGGGGATGTAAATCCTTTCCTGCATCTGGCTTGGAGCTGGGGGTTTAGGGTTTAGGGTTTCCCGGAACCCTAAACCCCACGCAAATGTTAACCCCTACAAATCCGTCTGGATGCCCAGGTACTCTTTTGCTGTCCAGCACCTGGCATACTTGCTTGACGCCCCTAAACCCTAAACCCTAAAGAGTGGGTCGCCTTAACAAAAAAACGCAACAACAACAAAAAAAACACGGGTTCCCCCTAAATACCCTATATACCCTGTATACCCTATATACCCTAAATACCCTATAAACCCTATAAACCCTATAGACCCTATAAACCCTAACCCTCAACCCGAAACCCACAACCTCCAGCCGACTCCAGCCCAAGTCAGCGGGGCCTGCTCTGATAGATGGCATCATGGATGCCACCACACCAGCTTCGAAACTTCGAATCGCAGTAGACAGGAGAATGAACCTTAGGCCCTTAGGGTTTAGGGTCTTAGGGTCCCCCCCCGCCCCCCCGGACGCGCCAAAAAAACCTAAAAGAGGCCGTTCTAGCAGCAGGGCACTGGAAGGGGGTCGTGCGCAGAATGCAGAGACTTGGGTTGCACTGCAGTCCCTCCTCAAAAAAGGTTCAGAGAGCGCATGAAGGGTGTGAGGAAGGCCATGGCGTGGAAAACTGTAGTATGCAACCCAGAAACCAGTAGTACCTGCCTATTGGGCCGGACACCGGCTGCGAATCGCCTGGCCAGGGAAGCCAACCCAATCACTTCCTGCAGTTCTGCAACCTACAGCGCAACCGCTAGCCTCAGAGCCTATCCAACTCGAGCCCCAAACTCCGAAAATTCGAAACCCCAAACATCCCCCTCATGAAGCCCCCTCACCCCCTTTCCGAGGCATTCCCCTAAACCCTAAACCCTAAACCCTAAACCCTAAACCCTAAACCCTGCCTTCGTTCTTTGCAGAGGCTCGCAGCCGCGGCCGCCGTGCTGCGTGGGCAGCCCCAGCGGAAAGGAGGGCGAGGGCTGCCGATCCTGGGTTTGCATAGGGCTCTTTTTGGCTTCGAGGGGCTGTTTTTTTAGGTGCTTTCTTAGGGCTCTTTTGAGCATTTTTGAGCTTCTTGGGCTGTTTTTTAAGGGTGTTCTCGAGATTTGGGGTTCGCGTCGTCGGGTGACAAGATGCCAGGGCTTCCCGGCTGATGCTCGTGATGCTTGAGCTTTGGGGTGGCGCAACTGCCGAAAAACTGGGCCGTTGCTCATGATGCTCCGAAAGGCTCGGGGCTGTCTTGGCTGATGCTCATGATGCTGGGGGTTTGGGGTGACAAAGATTGCCAGCGCTTCCCGCGTGATGCTCATGATGCGTGGGCTTTTGGGGCGGCGAAGTTGCCGAAAAACTGGGCCGCTGCCCATGATGCTGCGAATGGCTCGGGGCTGTCCCGGCTGATGCTCATGATGCTGGGGCTTTGGGGTGACAAGGTTGCAAAGGCTTCCCGGCTGATGCTCATGATGCTTGGGCTTTTGGGCGGCGAAGTTGCCGAAAAACTGGGCTGTTGCTCGTGATGCTGCGAATGGCTCGGGGCTGTCCCGGCTGATGCTCATAATGCTGGGGCTTTGTGCTGACAAGGTTGCTAGGGCTTGCCGTTTGATGGCCGTTGCCCATGGTGCTCCGAAACGCTCGGGGCTGTCCCGGCTGATGCTCATGATGCTAAGCTTTGGGGTGACAAGGTTGCTAGGGCTTCCCGCTGATGCTCATGATGACGCACTTGCCGACAAACTGGGCCGCTACCCATGATGCTCCGAAAGGCTCAGGTCTGTGAGCTTAAGGTTTGCAAGCCTTCGCAAAGTGTCCTTGTTGGATCAAGCGCACGCCATATTTCCAGCTGCCTACTTGTGTTGTGGAAACTGGTTGGGGACATACGCCCTACACCCCTTCCTAAACGCCGGCCTACTGTTTCTGGCAATTCTTCCGAGGGGCTCTGGAAGGTGCCACAACAAACAGCAACTACTGGTACCTAGACGATAAACAGCCGAGGCACCGTACCGGTGGCATCGCCAGTGCTGGGCTCTGTCTTGCTGTGACTGTGGCGTTGCAGCAGGCGCCAGCTGATCCTAAGCACAGGGCGACGTGGACAAGTTCAACCTTGGGGAGCTTACGATGTGAGGGGGCACATTCTTGGGGTCCTTATGAGAAGGGAATCCTACTATTTGGAGTCCGTATTCGGGGTTCCCTGATTTTCGTAAACCCCCACGTATACCCAGAATCTCCCTCTCCAAGGCTGCGATTGTTTAGGGAGTCTAAAACTTACACCCTCAACCAAGGCGCCCCCACGCCGCGCGCGTGGATGGGCCTTGGGTTCGGGCTGGCGCGCAGCATGCCCGTTGCAGCGGGAGCGCGTGGAGCCGCCATCATGTTGATTTGACAGGCAGGAAGCAAATTACAGCAATTGTACAGCAACCCATAGAGACGTAGAGACAATTGTGGTGTTCTGATTGTTCTTTGGATTTACAGTCGACTCTGACAAGAGTGTACCTAACGGCATGTCAGTAACACGCACTGCGACGGCAGCTGGCTACCATAACTTGAGCAAAACGGGTCAAGCCTTCACAGGAAGGTTAGAATCAAGATTTCGGGCAACCCCTGCTTTGAGAAACCTCACTATCGGGGCTTCAAAGCGTCGGCCAAAGAGTGTTTGAGAAGAATGCCGACGTGGACTTCGATGCGCCACTGCTTTGGCACAGATGATTGTTTAAGGGTTTGGGGTTTAGGGCTGAGGGTTTAGGGCTTGAGCCCAAATCCTGCTACGCGAACCCTACCCCAGGCGTCCAGATTGCAAAATCCCCTCAAACCTCAAGCTCAAAGCCCAAAGTCCATCTCTACGCCCACAATTCCACTGGGATACGCCGTTTACATCTGTTCCTAGAACTATACTATTTGCTTAAGAACCACCAGAAAGTAACAGAAACAAGATCCTATGTTGCCTTATAAGGACTTATAAGGAAGTCGTTCCTTTTTCATTTGTTTTTTTGTTGGGGGGGGGGGGGGCTCTGATCCTCTGAAAAGTGCACGTTGGGGCTGGTGCTCCTGAGACTCGCCGTCGTCGTCTTGAGACCTTCGGGTTTAGGGTTCAGGGTTTCGACGCTCACACTGGTTTAGGGTTTAGGGTTTAGGGTTTAGGGTTTAGGGTGGCATGCGGGGCGAGGCAACGAGTAGCAGGTCGACGGCGAAAGTCATGCTTCAAGATCAGATCAGCCTCGAGCACTGCAGCCAGCAACGACAGGCCCGCACCAAGCCCCCCAGGGTTAGGGTGTGTTTGGGTTTCGTTCTTGTGTTTGGGGTTCAGGCTTTAGCATCGCAACGCAGACCACTGCCTGCAATCCGCTGAACCCTGATAGCATTGAAAGTTTCTGACTACGAACACCTTCAGTCGTACCCAGAGTCCATTTTTGCCGTGCTCTGCAGAGCACGCCCATGCCATTCCCAACATCCAAGCAAGTAAAGATCTGGAAGCCTAAGTGAAGCACTCGGATTTCGCCTGAATTACGTCCCTCACCCCCCCCCCCCCCCCTTGGTGCGGGGCCCCTGCGGCGAGAACACCTCGACACGAAGGGAACAGTGACCCTCCAGAAGCAATTTTTGGTCTGGGAGTGCTTGCTCGGGGTGCCCTGATGGGCTTGAGGGCGGAGATCCCGCAACCTTCATGCTGGCGTGCATGGTGTCAAAGACGACTCTGAGGCATCGGCAGGCGATCCTTGAGGAGTAGGTCTCCTTCCCTGCAAACATCGTCCTGGCAGAAGCAAAGCATCATGGGCACAGCAATGCTTCTGCAGACATGGAGACTAAGAATGCCAGCGCCGTTAAGCAGCTCTAACTGCCTTCTGTGCCTTCAGGGCGCAATCCGGGTTCTCACAAGACAGCTACCTTTTTTTGACCCCGCGAGCTCTGCCACAAACCCTCTCTCTCTCTCTCTCTCACAGGCGCTCAGTCAATGTCAGGCCTGTCTTGGTTTCACAGCCAGCACAAAAGAGGCAATGGCCCGCGACCACTGCACTTGCAGGAATAGTGCCATAAACCCTAAACCCTAAACCCTAAACCCTAAACCCTAAATCCTAAGCCCTAAGCCCTAAGCCCTAAGCCCTAAGCCCTAAACCCTGCACACACTGCAAGAGCGGAACACAAGGCTGCTTCGCCAAAAGCTAAGCTCCCTGAGGGAGCTTGGCTCAAGCCGGTGTAGAGCGCCTCCAAGGCGAGGAGAGCAAAAGAAACGGGAAACAAACTCTACCCATAATTACACCCTTGGGGTTTAGTTAGGGTTCAGGGTTCTAATATAGTTATACCCCATACACCTGAGTAAGTAAACCCCTGTAGTTAAGCCCGAAAGAAGCCCGCACAAGCCCAATAAAAACTTATGAGTCCCGCGGCCTCGGGTTTCGGGAACGGCTAGTTGGGCATTGTGGCTTCGGGAGGGCCCATATACAGCTCGAAAACGGCACCACGAAACCAGCACCCCTGTACCCGAGCGGACCTCTCGCTCGTGCGGCATCAGTGGCCTCAAGGGTCTGTTGCCAAGAAGTCGGGAGCTGTTCAGGGAGAGGGTTCAAGGTTGTTTGGGACATGAAGCTACAGGTTCAGGAAAGCCAGGCACTGTTTCGGACTGCCAGGCGGCACACTGCCAAGACTAACCTGCGCACCCGGAAGCGGAAACCTGCGGGCGCTGTGCGGCGCGTCCGCCGTGATACAAGATGGAGGCAGAAGCCCCACAGCCACAGATTGCAAACGCGAAGGGGTCGTGCTGCAGGGTTGCATGGCTTGCTCAATGCGCTGCTCCTGCAAGCAGTGGCCACTCTTGTGGCACCTTGGAATATGAAAGCCACCCTGAACCCTGAGCCGGCCGCCGGCCGGCCAATCCTAAATCCGAAATAACAGGGAACAACGGGGATTCTTAGTGCACCACAGTCAAGTGCTGGAAAAGCCCGATCTGGGTCTCCAACCGTGCTTGGACCGGCTGGACGGGAGGCCTCCCCCAAAACAGGCAGCTTGGGGGTCTTGAGCTTTGGCAAGTGTTGGGTTCAGGGCTTCGAACTACAGTGACTCTTCTTTCCCTCCGCTCGCTACAGTTCGACGCGCCCTGCACCCTCGAACCGCAAGCACGAAGTCTTATCCGAAGTCGTCCAAAGGATTCATCCTGAAATCAAACCTAGTTGAGCTCCACATCCTGTTGCGACATCATGCCGGTGTTGCTTGCCCAAGAGATCGGCTCCTTACATTTAGGCCGCCACATACGAACTGTGCTAGTCGCAGGATTTCATTCAGGTCTTCTTGTTGTTGGGGTCACTAGAGCCCCTTCTTCCAAGAGACTTCACCCGCCTCCATAATACCCACGTGAGCCAAGCCAAGCCAGCCCTCCAATTGCCCTGCACTCCTGACAGAAAGACTCCAGACCCTCCAGTCCCCCTGCACTCTTAGGCCTGAACCGGGTCATTGTTGAACATCATTTACATTCTTATGAAACCTAAACCCAATAAGGAACAACACTTATAATTCTTAATCGTGCCCCAACAATGGTGTAGTGAACCCTCAACCCTCTTTGGCGAGCCAAGGTTGCGCAGGCGCATGCTGCGGGGCCTTTGCCGACTCGGCTGCGCATTCGTCGACCTGAAACATCAGCCCGATTGAGGCCTGGACCCAGGCCCTATCGAGTGCAAGAAGCTACCGACAAACAATGTCCCTTATCCCTGTATCCTTCTACGACGACGAGGACGACTTCATCGAAGCAAAGTGCCAAATGCGCTGTTGAGGGCGGTGCTGCGACGAGTGGTGCGCCGGGTGCGCCTGATGGCACTGAGCTCAGCCACACCCTGCTGCATCCGCGCTTTTAGATTGCATGTTGACTTTGACTACGCAGTTGGTCAGAGAGACAAAAACTGGCCAAGCCAAGGCACTTTGGAACTGACCGTCGTCTGTGATGGGTAGCCTGAGCCCGTGGGGATGCGTTGAGCTTGGCTTCAGCCCCCTGAATGGCGTCCCCCCCCCCCATTTGTGAGGGGGAGCTCTGTTACATGGTGGTCCCAAGTCGCTGCACGTTGATGGTTGGCCTTCAAGGCTGTCATATCTTGCTCTGACATGAGCAGTGAGTTTAGTGAAGTTTGGTGCAAGGGCCTTGAAGGTTGAAGATTCGGACGGAACTGCACGCCCATCTCAAAGAAATCGGAGCCAATGCCAAAAAAAAACTGTAGAATGCCATAAGCCTAAAAAGCCCTCAGCCCTAACTCTTTGTGCTACTGCGCTTAGGACGAGTCCTATAAACCCCAACCCCTAAACCCTGAACCCTGCACCACCATCCAGCTGGGGTTTCAGCCTTCCAAACTCTGGGATACCTCACACGGAGAAGGCGCCATCTTCCCCACTAAAACCACTTCCCGACAGTTCCGGGCTTTAGTTTTTCAGGGTTTTGGGGTTCAGGGATTAAGGATGTGGGGTTCAGGGGTTAAACGGGACTGGGGTTTCTTGGAAACACCCGGGAAACTCTACACCCTATACCCCGCAAGCCCTAGACCGCAAAGCCCCCGGACCCAAGACCAACAAGGACTTCGGATTCCCAGAACCCCTTTTTTTCTCTCCCCTAAGCCCTCAACCCCCTAAACCCAAGGAGTCTTATCTTGAGGCACCCTGTCTTGCACCCCGGAGCCTCCAAAACCCCCTTACTTCAACCAGATTGCTGAAACCACACGCGGGATCCTGTTCGGAGTAAGTCTTTTTTGAACGGGGGGGGCCCTGAAGTACTCCCTAAACCCTAACCCTAAACCCTAAACCCTAAACCCTAAACCCTAAACCCCAAAAGGGGGGGCTTTGGAGGGTTTTGGGGCACCTCCTGGGGCTCCTCCTCCTGCTCCTCCTCCGCAGGCTTCGGAAGATTCGCAGGAGGCGGCGTGGCTTCCTGGGCTTCGGATCTGCGAGGGGTTTTTGAGGGTTTTTTGGGAGGGTTTTTGGGATGTTTTGAGAGGGTTTCGGAGGGTTTTGAGATGTTTTGAGATGTTTTGAGGGTTTTGAGGGTTTTGAGGGTTTGAGAGTTTAGGTTTAGAGGATGGTTTAGGGCTTAGAGCTTAGGAGGGTTTAGGGCTTAAGTTACAGCGGTATGGAGGGTTTCCAGGCGCTTCAGTCCGTTCCGGGCGCCCAACAGAGGCACGTAGGGACTGAGCTTTCTGAGCTTGTTTCTTTGCTCCGGGCTTGTCCCGTGCTAGACGAAGCCTCGGCCCGGGAGGAACCTAGGAATGAAAAGTGTGCCCTTTTGTGTTTTAAGGGGATTGTAAGGGAACCCCAACCCTAAAAAAAGGAAAGGGAACCCTAAACCCTAAACCCTAAACCCTAAACCCTAAACCCTAAAACCTAAACCCTAAACCTCCACTCCCGGTCCTAGAAGCGGTGTCGATCTCGCTTGTAAGCCCGGCTTTGCTTTCATGGCGAGCACCCAAAAAACCCTCAACGCCTTAAACCCCATAAACCCTATAAACCTATATAAACCCTGTAAACCCTATAAACCCTGTAAACCCTGTAAACCCTATAAACCCTGTAAACCCTGTAAACCCTGTAAACCCTAAACCTAACCCTAAACCCTAAACTGCTCAAAGCTCCCAGTACACGAAGTCCGATTTACATATGTCGGCCTTCCACCACGCAAGCCCCGCAGTAGGAAAGCTGAGGCCTCTGAGAGAGCGACCCTCGAACCTTTGCAACTAAACAACTCCGGTTAGGGTTTAGGGTTTAGGATTTAGGGCTTAGGGTTTAGAATTTAGGGCACCTCCCTCCATCCTACTTCCCTGCTGCACCGAGGGCCAAGCGCGCTCCTGGCCCTCGTCCACGGTCGCCAGAGGTGCACCGGACAGTCCCTTCAGCAGCTGGGAGCCTGGGCTGCCATCCCCAGCAGGGATTTAGGCAAAGACGGCGTTTCACCACGAGATGGTTTAAGGTTTAGGGTTTAGGGTGCGAAACCTGCGTGATGCACGAGGAGGTGCCTATGACATAGAAGCGTGAACATGAACTGCAACACCCCCTTTAACAACTTTCTCAGTGTGCGAATGCTCCAGACCAAGCTAGAGATCTGCTGGCTTCTGAAAAGGGAGGTGTGATGGAGTTGGCCAGCTGAGGCCTGAGGTGGCGACTGCTCCGCCGGACGGCCCCTGTCCGATGGGCCGGCACTGTTGGAAAGAACCAGGCCCCGAAACTGGAAACAGAATTCTCCACCCACTAGCTCCATGATGCATATCCCACGGCGTCTGGCCCTGAGCCCGAAATTTTCGAAACCCTTGAGTCTGTTTGCTCGGCCGTCCGAAGAAAGAGCTGCATGCCGGGAGTACCCAGGTGGACCCAGAACGTCAGCCACAAGGTTACAGGGCCTAGTTGCTAGCTCACCAATGTTCAACATCCCTTGGGTGCGACAGGGGCCTGCGCTCACTTCGACCTGCACTTCTTCGCTGACGACCTGCGTCGCCACACGGACATCAGCTGCTGAAGCGACTCGGGGTTCGAGCAGCGTTCAGCTAGCACAGCATAGTCCAGAAGCCCAAGCTTTTTCTTTATAGAGCCCTTTTGCTTTGCCGAAACGTCCATCAAGTTAGGCAGCAAAGGGAAGCCCAGTCCTTTCTGTATGCCCATGTCGCCAAGAGGTCCCCCGCGCCAAGTTGCAAGGGCCTACAGGGTCTTCATATTACAACTGCCCCAGTCGAACACCTTCGGCGCTTCCGACCTGGCCAAAAAGTGAAGGAACACCCTAAACCCTAAACCCTAAACCCTTAGGCCTAAACCCACTTGTGGTGACACCACTGTGCAGGGCCTCCACCTCCCGCGCGGCGGGTGCTGGGAAGGCCTCACCTCCACTCAGGCGGCAGGAGATAGGGGGGGAAAACCCGAGCACGTTTAGGGTAATTACTGATAGTGTTGCCTTGTGGCCTTTTAGGTTTAGTTTAGGGTTCAGGGTAATTACTAATGTTATTACCTTCTGGTCCCTTTATTTTAATTATCCTATCAAAGCCCTGTTCTAATTGTTAAGGCCCCTATATTACGAGGACCTTCACACGATGACACTTGGTACCACTGGGGAAAGCTTCGGAGCCCCACTCTCTCAGCTGTAACGTTGGAGAAGCTAGATTTTTGGGGGTTCGTCAAACTTCTAGGCTAGGTCCTTCAAGTCGGAGGAGTCTAAGAACTAAACATCTTTTCAGTGGAAATCCACCCACCCAAAGAAGGCCCAAACTTAGATCGGCACCCCGATCGCCAAGCAGCGAACTTTGTGTCGAGCAATCCTGCCCTCCAAACCCATATGCACTCAGCCCCAGCTGAGAGGCTTACACATGCCGTACTATCGCGCTGTTGGTTGGGACCCTAGTCTGGTACCAGTTTGCGCTTTTTTGGGTGCTCTACACCAAACTCATGACTGTCGCAGCTCCCCTGGTCACCGGGCTCCCCACTGAAGGTCGCAAATTGCGAGCTAGGCCTTTGGCCCTGAGAAGACGGGAGTCATGCGGCGCTTGGGGGCTTAGACACCCTATGCCCTCTAGCGCTTCGGGCTGCGTTCAAGATGAACCGGCGAGTAAGAAGCTGAGGTTCTTGAAAGCCTAAGCTATGGGAGTGGGTTACAAAAATGGGAGTTCGCTTAGGGCCTGGGGTTTGTAAGGCTTTTCGCTATGGGGGTTTCTAAGGCTTTTCGCTATGAGCGCGGATGAGTGCGACGCTGACGCAACCCACCTCTATCATTGTTGAAGAAGGGCTGCCGGTGAGTGTACTGCCACCTCGGGTCGTGCACTTCATGTTGCGTAAGAAGGCATGCAAAGCCTTGAGTAGGGCACCGAAACCCTGAACCCAAGCCCGTTCAAGCGTCAAACACACCAGCCCCCTCAGGCGTGCACACTGCACTCCAGCATCACGAACCCAACCAGGACCGGTCTCTGCCTCTCCATCTGCTTATAAACATGCAGTCTGCTTCGCAGTTTAGGGTTGGCTGTTTTGGGCCTCTTTGAGCATCGGTGGATGGGTGGAGCCTTTCGGCGTCCGCACAGGCGGTATCCCGAAGCTCACTACCAGCGAAACCTACCATACACTAGCAAAGTTACAGCACTTTGTGGTCAACAGCCATTGCAGCAAACAGTATGGTACTCCGGTGACATGAATGTTTGCTTCTGCAACTCTTGCAGGAGTATAGTTGTGACTCTGATGCATGGTCTTGCTTAGCCCAAAGCATCGTCACCCGGCGGAGGCGGGGTGCCCACCGGCCTCGTCAGGCACAAGTTTAGGGTTTTCGCGTTAAGGTTCTAGGGTTTCGGGTTTAAGGTTTAGGGTTTTAGGGTTTAGGTCTTACGCTGGTTTACAGCTAAGGCGGAAACCTCCTAGAGAGATGGACTCCCACCGCCACGCTTTGTGAACGGTTCTCGGAGCCAAACTTGGGTTTAAGGTGCTGCTTATTGGGCACTGGATCGTTGAGGCACCTTGGTCGGAGTTGAGGGGTCTTGGGATTTTGGCCCCACTCAAACCCTGTACCTTTGTAGGAATTCGGTGGGAACTGGGCTTACGGTCTACTCCCGAAGCCAGGCAGGTCTACTTCTCAGCATCCGGCCCAAACTCCACAGCGGCCCTCCCGGCTGTGGACTCCTGGTCTCATGACTTTTGGGGGGTTTAGGGGATTAGGGGTTTAGGGGTTCAGGGGTTTAGGGGTTTGGGGGTTTGGGGGTTTGGGGGTTTGGGGGTTTGGGGGTTTGGGGGTTTGGGGGTTTGGGGGTTTGGGGGTTTGGGGGTTTGGGGGTTGGGGGGTTTGGGGGTTGGGGGTTCAGGGGTTCAGGGGTTCAGGGGTTCAGGGGTTTAGGGGTTTAGGGTGCGCAGTGCAGGCAGGCTGAAGGCTTGTAGCAGGTGTTTGCTTGGCAGGTGCCGTGTTGTTGACTGGGCTATCGCTGAGTTGCCCGATGTATCTCCAGGAGCCTAGCCAGGATGCAGAATGGATGACTTGTTCGAGCACTCGAATGAAAAACCTTGGCCCTGAACCCTCAGCCCCCCCAACACAAAAAAAAACCCAAAACAACCTAAGCGGGTTGAGTAGAACCGTCCCTAAACCCTAAACCCTAAACCCTAAACCCTCAAGTGTCCGAGCCCCGGGCTGCTGCTTCAACAGCTCTCTCCTCCCACTGCCTGGGCCACACGACTTTGGAAAACGGCCCTTCCTCCCCCCTTTCCGCCTTGGAATCCAGAATCCAGAGCCAGGCTCTGGCTTCTTGCGGCACCCTGTTCCCCTGATCCCTAAGCTTTCTAATGTAGGGGTCGGAATTAATACTAATACTACTGGTATTCCCTTATGGTGGCTATCATTTTACTATAATGACCCCCCCAAACCCTGTTCTAATTAGTAAGGCCTCTGGGCTGCTTCATTCGAGGCCCGTCCAAACCTGCCAGCCTTTTTCACCGGAGCGGGGGCAGACTCTTCCACTTCCCTGAGGCAACGGAATCTGCCAGCTGCCAAACGTCGCACTCCATTGCTGTGCCTTGCTGGTTTGCGGCTTGGGATGCTTGAAGATTATCCCTGAACCTTAAACCCTAAACCCTAAACAGCATGTTCACAAGGGCTGGAGTTCGGGTCTGGGGATGCTGGGGGTCAGTACTAGCAGCACTGTGCTAGCCTTCTGCCTGCTGCTGGCATCAACCAGTTTTTAGGTGGGCTTACTTCAGGGGCCTGAAGCTTCTTTGCCTGACTCACTCTGCGCGCCACAAGCGTCCGAAGCCCTACGGTCTTATTGCTCGGCATTTGGGATCTTGCCTGTTTGGAGGGAAGGTATGTTCAACCTAAACCCTAAACCCTAAACCCTAAACCCTAAACCCTAAACCCTAAACCTAAGGCCCTTGACAATTGGCCTCTGCAACAGCCCTCAAGGTCCCTCCTCCTGGCCTATGTCATCTGCCAAGGCCTCGCGCACAGAGTAGTCCCAGTTCCAGATACTGCCAGCTTCTCTTGAAGACCTCGCTGAAAGCAGTGAGTTCGCGTTGAGGAGCGCCTCCAGCCTAGCTGGACCCCTTGCTCTTATTCGCAACTCGCCTGCAACGACACTGCCAGGATGAAAACCCAGGCAAGGGGTTCTTAAATCCCAAAGCTGCAGAGGATGAACAGGCGTGAGACTTCTCTCAGACCCCTGTAAGCCCGAAAGACTGCAACTTTCAGTTGAAGTTTCAAAAATCTAGGGGGGCTAGCGCTTTGAAGCTTCTGACTGCAGCTGAAGGGGCGTAAGCAGGTCGGGGGAGGCCAGTGACGCGCACCAGGGCGTGAACTTGCAGTCGGGCCGGTCACCCTGCCTTAAAGCTGGCTGGTTCTTAGTAGGGACTGAGGGAATGAGGGCCCTACATAAACCCCTAAAGGGTAAAAATTACCTAACTCCCTCCTGAAGGCACCACAAACGGGCTTTAAAGAGTTCACAATTTAAATAAACCACTTTGACAAACTGAGCCGTCCACACGTGCTTCGCCTTGCTGGCCACGAACCCACTCATGACGAGACGAGCTTGAAGACTTGCTCCTGTGTCTTGTCTGTGCGATGCTTCAGGAAGCCATATGGCCGGCAAAGAATTTTTGGCCACCCCCTCGCCCCCCACCCCCGAGCCCCCCGAACCTCGTACCCCAAAGCAGCCAGTCTTCTTCCAACGTGCAACGCACATGCCTCGCAAATGCAGTCATAACATAGCTTTCCTTCCAAAAAAAAAACAGTCCGCCCTCTTCATCCTTCAACTCCCCCTGGTTCTTAATAGGGAATGAGGGAATTAGGGCCCTATTTTACCCTTTAAGGGAGTACATAGTAGGGCCCTCATTCCCTAAGCAACTCATTCGGCCAAGCTAAGGCCTGCGTCACAGCCGAACAGCAGCAGCACGAACATCGGCTGGTGAAACCTGGGCTTCGGCGTGGGAAGAGTTTCGAATTCGGGTCCCTTTAGCCCCTAAACCCTAAACCCTCAACCCTAAACCCGGAATCTTTTGAACGGCCTCTCAGCTTTCAGAGTCCATGTGTGGGGCTCTCTTCGTGTTTCCTCACATCGGTTGAAGAAGGGGGGGGGAATTCCAGAGGTGTGGCGTAAGAAACCGGGCAGCTGTGGCAGCAGCCCAACTTGCACTGTGAAGTCGACGCCGATGCTAGCCGACATGGCCTGTCAAGGAATGGCGCTCGGGGGGTTTGGAAGGGCTCTTGGGTGTTCAGGCCTTCAGATCTCAGGGCCTACCTAGGACCTAGTGGCT